TATATATATATATTTTAATAATCTCTGATCTTTTTGAGCATTTTCTGCATGCGAAGCATAATGTTAAGAACATTGCATGCATTATCTTTTTCAAGCTTCACAACAATCCGTAAGGTTTTTTAAAAAATTATTTTATTTAACTTATTTATTTATAATTTGATCAGAGAGGGAGAGAGAGAGAGAGAGAAAGCCACCAGGTCCAGGACTTGAACAGCAGTAGGCCATGTGGGAGTGCCCTTAACCACCATGCCACCTGCCGGCCCTGAAACTATTATTTGTTAGTTTTGCCCACTTTACAGATTAGGAAACCAAGGCCCAGAGGCTTGGTTTCTACCCAAAGTAACACCATCAGAAAGCAGAGAGAGGATTTGAACCCTGAAGTTAGCATGCTTCACTGTTCTCTCTGCTTCTCTGCACAGATGCATTGTATGCCTTCAGTTTGCTAAAGGGTGCGTGTGCTCACCAGAGAGAGACAGCCGGGAGATGGCGGGAGTGAGAAACACCCCATGACGGATGGTCATGCCGCAATCCCTTCTCTTCCATTTCTCTTTTTGGTACTTTGGCCACGCATGCACATGCACCTGGCATGTTTTTTAAGCCACTGGAGCCAGGACTTGAACCGCATTGTCAGCTGTGTGGGACCCAGCCACCTCGACCACCATGCTGCTGGTTGGCCCCTGCATAGATACTTTCTGAAGGAAGTGGGACAAGGAAAAGGGAAACTGACATGATGAGTTACAAACATTTTTTAAAAAGAATTATTAATTTAATTTTATTTATTCATTCATTTATTTTAATTTGTCCACACACACACACACACACACACACACACACAGAAGGAAAGTGAGAAAGCAAGCCTTCAGGTCCAGGACCCGAACTGTAGTCGCCATGTGGGAATGTCCAGCGCCTTCACCACCATGCCACCCGCTGATCCCCTGAAACGTTTTATTTTTATTCCTGGGTTCCCATGAATCCTTTCTTCAGAGCAGCACAGGTTAAGCTCTGCCTTCCCTCCTCCTCATAGTCAGGCAGCTTTGCTCACGGATAACTGGACGTGGTCCATATGAGGCTTGGATCTGATGTGGCCGGGGTGGGCCAGGCAGGGGCCGAGCCAGCACGCCGACACAGGAGCAGTGAGACTGTCTTGAGAAAGGAATGTTCCTGCGGCTGAGCCTGTCTCGGCCGGAGAGACAGTAGTCTGAAGAAATAGTTGCCTTCTCGTAAAAGCATCTGGCGCCTGTGAAACCTGGCACCTCGCTTGACCTCTGGCTAACAGGAGGTGCAGCAGGGCGCTGTGGAACTAATGGAGTTTTCTCCTCCAGGCAACAATTAGGGGTTAATTATTAGCAATTAGGGGTTCACCACATGCTCTGTGGACCTGCTGTCCCTTCCCAGAATTCAGCTCACTTGTCTTTCTCTGGGTTAGCAACTGGGTCCATCTGCCCCGGGTCCCCCGTTAGTCACTGAGGCAGGGTCCCCATGGGGCTGGCAGCAGGGGGGCATTCTGACCTAATGAACCCTGGCACTGCCGGCCCACTTTGCTCAGTCACACTGGCCTCCATCGGTCGTTGTCAGCATGGCATCTGATCTGACCCCGCAGAACCGGGCCCCTGGACTCTGCTCACCTTGTTCCCTTCTGCTCTTTTCCAGACGCTATTACAAGGAGACCTCTGGCCTGATGCTGGACGTTGGTGCCTACATGAAGGCGCTTGAGGTACCTGCCCTGGCTGGGTGTTGGGCCCTCTGCAGCTCTGAGTCCTCTGGGATGTTTCAGGTCTCTCTGGAAAACAGAGTAGACTTTCTGTGAACGGCCTCTTATGTTTCAGAGTGGGTCACTGGTGTGGGCTTCAGCCTGGGACTCCCTTCGCCCTGGGGCTTGGCCCCTGGGCTCTCTGATCATCACTCTGCCTTCTTCCCTCCTCTTTCTCTCTCCTCTGTAAGGGCCAGGGCACACCCTCGTTGCCTGCCTTGCTGCTTCTCCCAGCATGCTCTCTGCCACTCTCCTTTCAGACATGGCTCCCATCCGTATCTATGTTGACCTCCTAGCCTCAATCCTGGCCCCGGTCATCTGTGGCACATCAAGCTTGATGTATACCATCAAACCCCTTCCCAACTCTCCCCTCTAGTTTCTATGACCATCTATGGCCAGGCCCTCAGAAGGGGCTTCTGGACTCCCCCTGGCTCAGGGGCTTCTGTTCCAGGTCAGCCTTAGGTCACATCCTCAAGCAGCAGCTCCTGCCTGCATTTCATGGGAAGGGTGGGCAGATGGGCAGCCAGAGCCCTGGGCCTCTCCCAAGAGGGCCTGTGATGGAGCAGGACACGAACAGAAGAGAAAAGAAGGAAAAGGAAAGACAATGGAATTGCAGCTGCGCACCAGTAAGAGCTCTGGTCTTGGGGCTCTTGTGGGGCCTTGTGGCTTTGCCAGCTGCTGGACAACTGCTGTGGGAGGGCCTTTGAGTGCAGGGCAGGAAGCCTGGTGGTGGGTCCTCCAAGCATCCCGGGCAGCCCTTTGTGGAGTTGTGCTCTGGCTCTGAGGTGTATTTCTGAGGCCCACAGCATTTTACCTCTTTAAGCCCCCTGGCCCTTGGGGGCGCAGTTGGGGTAGTCCTTGGATGAGCCCCTGTTCCTTGGGCTCAAACCTGTGCCACGTCCCTCTCTTTCCAGTATGCCTCTGGTGTCAAAGCCGAAGTGGTGGGGAAACCGTCTCCTGAGTTTTTCAAGTCTGCTCTGCGAGCCATCGGGGTGGAAGCTCACCAGGTAAGATGGCACCTCACAAAGCATTTGTGTGTGGAAGAGAAAAGAAGGAAAAGAAGTCCTGGCAGGTGCAGGCACTTACATGGGGCAGCTGTGGGGGCTTTAAATGGTCCTAGGGCTCTGACAGTTTGTGGGGGTTGGCTGGGTGACCCCATGATTGCTGACTTGGCTGGAAAGGGGGGGAGATGACACCCAAGGCGTTCCACTAAATGTTTTCAAGCTGTTCAGTTATTCCATTGTAAGAGCAAGAAACAGAAATACTGTGGCATTTTCTAAGGGACTTTCTGCTTCTTTGGAAAAGTAAGGATTGACAAGTCTTATCAGTGTATTAAAAATATCTAATATTTTTAAGGGCCAGCAGGTGGCACGGCAGTTAAGGCACTGAATTCCCACATGGCCAGTCATAGTTTGAGTCCTATACCCAGCGGCTTGAAAATCACACTGGGCGCATGTGCTTGTGTGCCCAAAATCCTGAGAGGAGAATGAGGAGAAGGGATTGCTATATGGCCATCCCCCCTACGGGTGTTTTCTCACTTTCCCTGTCTCTCTCATTGGTGAGTGCATATGTCTTATGGCCAAAACCTGAAAAACTTATTTCTTTGGAAAGACAGTGTAGCAGCAAGATTACAACAGTGTGTGAGAAACAATGAAATCACTCGTCTTGCCACCTTGATGTTATGACTATTTCGGGGATAGATTGCCTTCTAAACTTTGACATCTTAAAAGGAAAATAAATCAGTTAGGATTTTATTGCCTGCAGGCCACCCACCCACCACCCTGGCCCTCAGGCAGTCACTTCAGTCACTCCAGTCAGTTTTTGGAGAGTGACGTTAAACAGTGGGCAGGGCAGCTGGCCCACAGCCACCTGCTCTGCTATAGTGTGAGTGCCAGAGGTGTCAGGTGAGTCCCTGGTGTCAGCATCCTGCGGTGAGCCCCATGCCCCAGGGTCACGTGGTGCTGCGTTCTTGTTGGGCTCCCATTCCTCTGGGTGGTCCCTCTTGGTGCTTTGAGAAAGATGGTTAGCAGCCACTCTCGAAAGTCTAGAAATTGCACTGTACCCACCCTGAGAGTCATGGAGATGCAGAAGCTGTGGGCTCTCTGGCATCTGCAGGAAACACCCGGGAAATGCTATGTTAGGCTTTTCAAGAAGGAAAGGTTTGTGTTTTGAATGGATGAAGACCACAGGAATAGAAAACCTGGCTTCTTGCAATATTTTGCTTCGGTGAGCAGAATATTTCTTTTTCTTTTCAAGATAGAGGCTTGCAGTACCCTCATCCTCCTGCTTTAGCCACCTAGCTGGGACTACAGGTGTGTACACCCACCACACCTGGCTCTTTTTACTTTATATTTTATTTTATTTTGCCACAGGGTGTGTGCATTCTCTGGAGAGAGATGGGGGAGAGAATGAGAGAGAGAGAGAGAGAAGTCACACCCCCGGGAGTATGGCCACACCCAGTCTCTTCTCCACTTGGATTTTGGGCACATGGTACACACAGGCCTAGTATGATTATCAAGCCACTGGGTCCTGAATTCTACATGGCACACAGTTGGCCATGTAGAATTCAGCTGCCTTAACCCCTGCATCACCTGCTGACCACCCCCTGACTCCTGCACCTCTTTTTAAAGAGAGGGTCTCACTATGTTGCCCAGGCCAGCCTGAAACTTGAGACCTTCCTGCCTCAGTATCCCTCATCACTGGAATTACAGGTACAGGCCCCATGCTTGGCCTTTATATTGGAGCAGGAATCGAATCTGGGCCTTCATGGGCCCCACCTAGTGGAGCACAGTGTCTCAGCAGATATGCCACCATAGCTAGGCCAAGGGCAGAATTTTTATTGTGAAAAATTTCAAACATATACAGAAGAGGAGAGAAAACAATACAATGACCCCTCTCCCATGTATACATCACATAAATGAACAGTTAAAAGATTTTGCTACAGGGTCAGCTGATGACGTGGTGGTTAAGACAGCTGGGTCCCCCATGGCTGACAGTGCAATTCAAGTCCAGACCCAGAGGCTTGAGAAATACTTGTGTGTGTGTGTTCAAAATCCAGAAAAGCAGGAGAGATAGAGGAGAAGTGATTGCACATGGCCATTTCTCATGGGAGATGCTTTCTTACTTTACCCCTCTCTCTTTCTTTGTCTCTCTTCAGCAAGCACATGTACCATCTAGCAAATTAGAAAAAATAAAAATATTTAGCTGCATTCCATTATTTTTTTAAAAATTATTTTATTTAAATTTATTTATTATTATTATTATTATTATTATTATTTTAATTTGACCAGAGATAGACGGAGAGAGAGAGAGAATGTGAGAAAGCAAGCTGCTAGGTCCAGGACTTGAACCATGGTCAGCCATGTGGGAATCCAGTGCTCTAACCACTATACCACCCACTGACCCCCATACATTCCCTTCTTCTATCCTTCTTTTCTTTTTTAAAAATCTATAAATCTTCTGGTTGGTAGGACCCACTAGGTACCAAGCAAAATGAATAAGAAAAGATCCACTCCTGGGACCAGCAGTTGGTGTAATGGCTGCGTTGCTAGACTTCCATGTAGTCGACTGTGGTTCAAATCCCAGACCCGGTGGCTTACACTCATGCCGGCGCGTGTGCATGCGTGCCCAAGATCCCAAGAGGAGAATGGAGGAGAAGGGATTGTGGCGTGGCCATTCCCCCTGGGGGGGTGATTTCTCGCTTTCTATCTCTCTGTCTCTCTTGGGTTGGTGTCCAAGTCCTTGTGATCTGATCTTAGTGAGAGGTACTCTTTGTTATGACAGAATGCTCCAGACCTGACCTGCCTTGTGCATTTTTCTGTGCTGGGCCTAGAATGAACGATCCTTCCAAGGAGCTATGTTTACTTTTAGTAGAAAATATTTAGAAACCATAATGGGGATGTTAATGGTTCTCATTGCTAGTGGATGGTCATCATTTCTAAGCATTTTTAGTCCACAAGGCTCTAAAAAATATATATATTTTTAAACATGAAACACATTCTGAGTTCCTACTGAAACTTCTGATTGAAATTTGGGAAATCATAGGACCAGCAGGTGGCATAATGGCTATGTCACTAGACTCCCACATAGTCGACCGCAGTTTGAGTGCCGGACCCGGTGGCTTAAATTTACTCCAGGCAGGTGTGCGTGCATGCCCAAGATCCTGAGAGAAGAATGGAAGAGAAAGGATTGTAGCGTGGCCATGCCCTCCCGGGGGGGGGGGCGTGATTTCTTAGTTTCTGTCTCTCTGTCTTTCTGGCGAGTGCATGTGCCCTATAGCAAAAAACTCTCTTAAAAAAAAGAAAGAAAGAAATTTGGGAAATCAGTTTTTACTTTATCTCTTCAGTTTTATATCTGTACTTTTCTTTTCCATGTCAAAAATCCTAGTTCTCAAGAATACCAACATAATCATTTTCTTTAACCCATAATATACACAAGAGTCTTGAATCTCAAAAGCATTAGACTATGTGATGAAAGCCAGACACACCAATGACAGCCCTGCCACCAACTCTAGCACAGCAGTGTGATTACGAGGGGACGACGAGGGGACGCGCCGGGGTACTCAGTAATGTGATTGCTGAGTACCGATGCTGGTTAAGATTTCTCTTTTGGGCTGTTCTTTTTTTTTTTTTTTTTCCCTTACAACATACTGCTCTAGGGATCGATGACCAAAATACTTTATTTTAGGACTACTAGAAATAATGCCTTACTGGGTAGTATCCCCCCAATTATATCCTCTTTGAATTCACTTTTAGAACATTGGTTTTTCAGCATCTGAATTTGTTTTATAGTTATGTGAAATATTTCTGTGGTTCTAAAATCAAAACCAGACTATTCAAGGAGGTCTAACATCTGTCCTGTCCCCTCTATTCTATTCTTATCCATTTCATAGGTAGCCATTTTTATAAAATATTATTCTTTATCTATTTTTTAAAATATAGTCAACTAAGTATATATTTTTGTTCTATTCATAGGATATATTTAAGAGAAT